ATCTTCTACGATCACCGCCAAGACTTGCATGGAAACGACAAGCGGTAAGCACATGTAAACAGAATTATTTGTCTCGTCTGTATGAGTAGCAACATGAGTCTATGCGTCTCCATGAGTTGTAAACATTGTTCGAAACGCTGTTGTTGCCCGCATCGCTAAACTCTCAACAATCGGTTCCGCTCCGTTAGAGTCTTAAGTTATAAGTCTAACGCTTAACTGCCGTGGCTGGGTTTTAGCCGATGCTAAACACGGTCTGAGTGTCTTCAGCTGTAGAACAAAGGTACTTACGCATTCGCCCGCTTGGGTATTCGCAATTTTACGTGTATTCAGTTCGTTTTTCTTCGTCGATTGATCCGTGCCGTTGTAAACGATTGACAGCTTCGTCGTGGTTAGTTCAATCGCATCGGTGCGATCTGAAACAAGTCATAGTCAAATCGTAGTAAACGTGTCTCATTGTTTCCTTTCTCCGTACTATTCAAGGTCATCATGGACATCCGGCAATTGTGCAGAGAGCTCGTCAACTTCGGTTGGACGATAACTGATCTGATCGCCCTGTCAGAAGCGCTGCTGGTCACTTTGATGCGTAGCAGCGCGATTTTGTTCTTGACCATGGATTCCGTGTCGCTCCAGAATATAATCTGGTCAGGTTTGATGAAGTACTCATCAAACGGAGGTACTAATTTTACAATCCTCATTCTTTCGATGCCCGCTTCGCTGAAAGAAATTCAATGCGCATAATTCGTTTACCGTACGCCTCCAATTGCCTAGCTGTTTCATCCCACGAGGCAAGTAGGACTCTTATCTGGCGCGTTTGCTTGCATATAGAAAAAAATCCGTTCTGATATGTTTGAGATAACTTTAATTCGAAATTACATCAACCATCTCTCAGTGATATAAAATATGGAAATAATTAACACAAATAAATTGTTAGTTTCATTTCCTTTAGGTAAAACCTCCGGTTGGTTGCTATCCTCAATAATATAGTGTATAATATTTAATCTTGTCTCATTTATTAACGTTTAATCTTGTCTCGTATCGTTTTTTAATGACTCGTGCTTCATTTTCAGCCTGTCCATTTCCTTTGTTTCGGTTTATTGCTTCGTTGTCCTGCTTTCCATGTCTATTCATACAACATCAGCATCTTATATTCGACTCCATTCCCTGGGTCTTTCTTCTGGAGTATATTTAGGCGGTGAAGAAAGAACACAGTTTCATGTATCAGCGTTCTTGTTCACAAAATTCTACAGGTTTGAAAATATGTAAGCAACGTAAACCTATGAAACATATGTAAATCATAAATCATAACAAACCGGTACTTCACTGGTTCTAGATGATGAATTACACGAATCAGTGGACATAACTATTTGTTACTGTCATGAAGGGTAATGTCATGTGGCCGAAACCAATATTTCCAGTAAAGATTAGTCTCTGGAAGAATTCGAAATGCCAGATTATTGAAAGAAAAGACATGGAAGTGGCCTGAGTTCAAGAAATAAATAAATTATATTATAAGGATTTTAATGGCTCGTATTTGCAATAGGTTCTTCTCGTCTTTGGTCTATGGGAAGACGGAATGGTTGTTGTAATACCGTTTCTGGTTTTAAACAAAGGTCGCTGCTTTTTCATCAGGCTTTCTCTCAGAACAACACGCGACTATTTATGCTGCATTGTTGTGTTCACAGCTGCTTGATACTCAGGTTCACACTCCTTGTTCATTGAGGAAATATATTTGAAGACGTTTTAGTTGTCATAGTTGCTCAAAAAGTTATTAATTTCTTATAACTTAGTGTGTTTTGTAAAAACGGATCTAATGCATCATGTGATCGAGTTTTCACTTCATTGCGCTTCACCTTCAAACCCATAAATGGCGAGCAAGGCGTTCGTTGGTCCCTGATTCATGCTTTCACGTACGGTACGTAATGCCAGTGTACAAACAAGAACACTGCTTCTCTTGATGCTGCGAAAAATATGGAAAATTCCGACAGCAGACAGTTTGCACTGCAGTGCGGGAAAGACGGGATACGGCAACAAGGCTGACATCATAAATTGATTTTTACAACATACCTCTCGGCTAACGGCTGTGCGGGAACAATGAAATACGCGTATCCTAGCGGTGAAACGTGGTACACAGTCGCGGCCACCCAAACGGACCTATATTCTCTGTTTAATATTGCAAGATTAAAAACGGAAAGGTTCGGTTTTCGATTTCTGGACGGTGTAGGTCGTCTTCTGGTGACCTAAGATCAGTGAAGTTTGGTTAGATCGATAAAATAATAACTTTCAAATGAGTGACAGCCGTCAAACATGAGGCTAAAATTTCTTTTTGCATATTCTACGTTTTGATGTGCACCTTCGCTTCGACGGTTGCTGTATAACGCGAATTGTCACCGGACCGAAAACTTTTCCTTTAGAGGAAATGACCGCGTTGTACGGAAAGTCGACAACACTTCGTCTGGTTCGGCCATTTTTGGATCCTCTGTCGTTGAAGTGTCGACTTCGGCTTTCCAAAAATATTGCACAGTAATTTTCTCACTCTTACTCACTGCGTATCCGCTTATGCCGAAAGCCTTCTGGTGCACGACATCAATAAACAACAAGATACTTGGCGCTGAACGCCTCGACTGAACGCGATCGAGAACTTACCTTCTGAGTGAAAGCGAAGTGAAGTAAGGCTAGGAGGAGCGCCAACTTCAGGATCCCGGAGTTGCTCATTTCGTTTCAAGTCAGACGGTATTCAACGACTTCAAGCGTTTGTGATTTAAATAGGCGACGAACAGATGGGTTACAGGGCACCGATATTTGAACAGTTGCATCGGTGAGGAAAAACTTGTTTTCGACAATTCTCAGTGCCTACGAAAATGCCTATTTTCGCTGATTCGAACGCGATGTATTTGCCGCCGTCCTTTTGTTACGATGAGAGCAGTGGTGAGCGAGTGATATGGTAGGTGGACCAATCGCTTTATCGTTCGCTGTACGTATTCCGTGAAGTGAGGAAAAGTTTTGCCCTGAATATTGCGTCATACCTGCGTTCTCAGTACAAAATATTTGAGTCGTATTTGATAACTGAACACCGAAAGGCGCATTCGGAAGAGCAAAGATGTTCAGAGCCGCGGGAGAACACAATCATTTATTTCGCCTCGAACAATGGCACTGGTCAAAATTCTGTCAGATGTACCGAACCCAAAAAATTGTTATTTAATCATTGGTTCAAATTATATTTCACGCGAAATTGCATTTGGTGTAGCGCTCCCTTCGTGATAACCGGAAACATTAGACCGTTAACTTAGACTCAGATAGAGTCTGTGGCGAATTTGCACGGTGGACATGTAACATAATCCGTAATCAGCTCTGTTTACAGCTCCGAGATTACCTGGTGAGCAAAAATGTAATTGTACCGTTTATTACATTGCTCTCATTTTGTAATAAGGGACTGAATTCATCTTTTATTGTTTGAAAAAGAAAGGGAACAGTTCATAGGAACAAGGCTCTTGTGAATTAATGGATACGTCGTAGATTCATTGCTCTTCAAAGCATCGTCGCTACATGTGGTAGATCACTCAACTAAACCGAGATGCAGCTAAACGCAATAACACGCATGAGTGATTCTAGAGACAGGTCAAATGAAGTTGTAGCTAAGTGTGCAACTTTGTGACATTTGTTTCAAATGCTCCCTGGACTAGTACGAGTTTTCCAATTTCGCCATCGCCTTATTTCAGAGATTGTAAGAAACAGCAGGAAGGGAAGCTGTGCTCAATATTGTCAACAGGACAACTTTATTGCAAAATGGTCTGTTTTCCCAGTAAGGTAATCATGTTGTTTGGACATTCAGACGCAGGCTGTTTGTACGGTGACTGACTTATCTCTGAACTATTCAGTTGCTGATCTGATTATCAGTGACCTCGTTAATTTGATGTAAAGAAAGGTTGTAATCTGGTCTACTGACAACTTGAACTTAGTTCTAAGGCGATTTGAAAAATGCCTGCTCAGATTCAGATGCACAGACTCAAATTGTGATTTCACTCCAGAAGGGAGGCGATGCAAAGAGAAGCTGATGGCTACGCAAGCTCGAAGCCTGAGGAAACCTGACCACCTCTTGCTGTTTCCAGCACTTCGCCGCGTTCCCGACAAGCGGCTATCGTCTATTTCGATAGTTCGTGCAATTGGCGATAGGACTGAAGTGAGTCCTGAGCTGAAGTAGGTGCATCGGTACGAAAAATGTGAGTCATCGAGAAAATTAGCCATCTTTACATATGCGAATGATGATGCGATCTGTTCTCGCGCAGAGGTGGCGTTTTGTGGACTGTTTTTCTCATAGCAGAAATGGCTTTTTGCATTTTAAAAGAGTCAAACACAGTTCAGTCTTTACGCGAAGGCTATGAGGTGTGAACTTATTACACCAATTTATTCAGCAGAAGAGTCAAATGAAATGGAAATAGTTCATTTGAGTAATATAAATATTTCCCGAGTAAAATGCGTTCCACACAACTGTGTTCCTAATACTCGTGCTTGTTGTTAACTGACAGTAGAATGACGAAATGTGCCGGATGCGCCTGCCCGGTGCCCGTACATGAGCGGTAGGACCTGTGGTGGTCGAAATTTCGTGAGAAAAAAATTTCAACATTCAAGCCAAATTAGTCCAGTGTCAAATGGGGCAGGTTGAGTACACATGTGTGGCGCTGTTAGAATTTCGATTTTGGCGTTTCTACGAATTTTCATCATTTTAACCCTGTACCATAGTTTTCGTTACAAGGAAATCGCGCACTTTCTACCTATAAACCGATATATGGTACAGGGTTAAAAACCTAACCCTGTACCCTATCGGATTTAGAACTTTTGCGTCAATTGCAATTTTAACCCTGTACCATTATGTTAGATACAAAAAAATCGCGCACTTGTTGCCTTGAGATCTACGAATTGTGGAGGGCTAAAATTTCAACCTGCTACAATGTTGCACATGGACTGACAGTAGAATGACGAAATGTGCCGGATGCGCCTGCCCGGCGCCTGTACATGAGCGGTAGGACCTGTGGTGGTCGAAATTTCGTGAGAAAAAAATTCAACATTCAAGCCAAATTAGTCCAGTGTCAAATGGGGCAGATTGGGTACACATGTGTGGCGTTGTCATGAGTTACTCTTACACTTGCTTTCAGACAGCGAGGAACTACGGGTTGGCACATTAAACCAAGCTCAATGCTGCGCGTCGGAGTTCTTATAGTATGTTTTTTTGACTCAGCAGTCGCTCCTTCATAAAAACATTGTCATCTCTCATTTTGAGGAGTTTTTACCTTCACATGTTGTTTACAGCTATCGAAACGTCTGAGTTTCACGATTTTCCAATAAAGCATGGTTGCCGGAATGTGCAGGAAGAATTTTTCCAAAACGATTGCTCTGAATTGAGTGGTTTCTTTGTTTTGCAATAGTCCTCCTTTTCCGTATGTCATTCAGCGATTGTTTGGCTCAATACAGTAAATCCTTATTTTCTTTAAGCTAATTTTTGATCCTGCCAGTGATCACACTGTATCGTAATAAACTTTCCGATCTGTTGTTCTGGCCAAGAAACAAAGCTTCCGTTCAAGTTTGTATTGCCTTCGCGTTTTGCTACCTCAAAGTAGAATCTTCAGGGCATGAATGATCAGGCTTGCAAGAAATGGCTTTGGCCTGTGTCGTAGCTTCAACGATGGATCGCCACGTTCGTTGCAGTTCCTGCAATGTGTGCAGAATCGAAAACTCTACGTTTGCTCAGAGGTCACACCGTATTAATTTTATGAGATCTGGGTTAGTTGATTTCTTTGTTCGGATATTCGAGTCGAATATGTGAATATAGCTTCAGTTTGTAATTCTTACTGTGGAAGAGAAATATTCCCTGCACTTGCACATTCGGTATTTCACTGCCAAAATGAGGAGAAACCCTTCTGTTAGAACATCGAGTCATGAGTAACCTCCCTGGAATACTGAAACATCGGGCGGCTAGACGAAAATCCCCCAAAAATATGCGTGATGCGCAAAGCTAGAATTGCCAAGGTGC